GAGTTTTTTCTTAGTAGATGTTAAGTTGCTGTAACCAGATAATGTGACAGGGAATGACAATGTTATGTTGAAATACCTGTATATTGATGCTCCCCTCCTGTCTTCCCAAAGCAGGATGACTGTACAACATCTCCAGAAACCACAGCTCCACCTGTTCACTTCCATTTGACCTTAAGAAATCCCATGTGATGTAGCTAAACAGCAATGTTCAAGGCCAAAGTAACTGTCTCCTCTACTCTATGAAAAATATTCAGTGGCAGGTCCTTGAATTCATTCTTGTATTAGTCACAGGTAATATCTAGACAGGATTTGAATATTTATTATCTCCCTTTTCTAGTTTGTGAAAGGAAATGGGCAGATATGGTGGACAGAAGGTGGAGGGAAAGCGGTAGGTCTTCCTCTGTTCAAAGTAGGAGGGCTGATCTCTCTACATGACTCTCCCCATCCTGGGAGCTGGCATGGGGTATGGGGGTGTATATCACTCGCTCATCTAGTATTCTTGCTCAAGGTCCCTCACAAGATTGCAGTTAAGGTGACCAGAGCCTCTGTCATCTTAAGGAAGCATTTTTTTTTAAATTTTATACTGATTTATTTACAAATCTTAAATATATTGTTTTTCACACAAGATCTTTCCTATTTCCTTCACTGCCCCCACTCATCAAATTGTGTGACCCTATGATTCACAATTCCCATCCAGCCCATCCTCACCTCTTTGCTTCCACTTGCCAGCCCCCCTCCTTGGATCCTCATACTCAATCTACAATAATGGTTTTATACAATATTTATCCTTATGGAACTGTGTTAGTTCACTTAGCATAATGCTCTCAAGTTTCTCCCAAGTTAGGTAATAATTTACAAACTCATTGCTCTTGCGTGCTGCTTAGTATGTCATTGTGTGACTATATCACAATTTCTCCTTCTATTCAGTTGTGGTTGGACATCTGGGCTGTTTCCATGTTCTTGCCATGGTGAATAATGCTACGAACATTGGTAAACAAGTCTCCATTTGAGCCTCAGTTCTCATTTTCTCAGCAACGGAATAGCTAGCTCATATGGCATTTCTATGTTCAGCTTTTTTGCAGAAGCACCAAATGGTTAAGACAGCATTTTATTTTTCATCCCCCCATGATGATTAACTTTATAAAACAATGCATGAGAATGATTGTATGAAAAACAATGTGCATTAAGAATAATGTAAAATAACATGTACATAAACTTTGTAAGCAAACCAATAAAAAATAAAAATTAAAAAAATTATATTCTCCCAATCTATTATCTTTGAACTTTTTGGTAAAGTCCTTTCATGAACCAAAGTAATTCCTATGAGGATCCACTGATCCATTTTGGCTTTTGTTGTTTATGCTTTTCTTATTATATCAAATAATCTGTTAAAATCCATGCCCCCATATTTCTTAAGGGAAAAAAAAGAATCATTTTCAAGCTTACTCTTGGGGCTGTTTTCAAGTGTCAGTTTATAGGCTTTGGGCTACATATTTTTCCTTTCTTGCTGACTGCTGGTCACTCCTCAGGACAACTCACAAGATCTCTTTCGGTCATGGTTGACTCGAGAGCACTTTTTAGGAGATGAATACTAACTGCCATTCAGCTGGCTTCCATCCATAGCAACTCTCCACTGGATTACTGAGCACATAAATCTTTATGAGAGAAGATAGCCTGTTTTTCTTCTAAGCAGACTCTGGTGGATTTAAACCTATGTGTTTTGTTGTTGGTTGGGGTGTGTTGTTGGTTTTTTCTTCCTTCCAAGAAATGAACAGACCTTTATTGCATGGTCTGAGAGGGACGTCAAGAGACTGCAGACAGAGAAGGTCAAAATGGCTCAGAAAATGTATTGAAAAAGAGAAAGAAAACCAACCAAAAAAGGCTCCTGTATGCCTCACAAATGTGAGAATCAAAACTATCTAAGGCATATGAAGTTATTTTGACAGATCAGGCAAGTAAATTCTAATAAATTTATTTTAAAATGGCTCTTCTTTATAAAAATGTAACTGCAACAAAGCAAACATTTATTATTGTATATTTGTTATAAATAACCTAAGAGAAGAAGAAGAAAAAAGCAAATCTCTCTCCATTAAAGAGTAAAACTGTTAAAATGAAGGATTGATAATGACAGTGATGAGGAAGTACTCATAAATGGTTTCATTTTGACAGATCACAAAACCTTATTTTGACTACAGCTCAAATTAGAAGCTGCAAAAATATCTTCCTAAATTTAAGCACCACCATTCATCTGTCAGTTTCTTGTGCTATGGTGGTTTGTAGATTGCTTTGATGGAAAAAGCTTTGTTGACAGTATTTTAAATATCAGCAGTTGTTGTTAGGTGCCATAGAATTTAGGATAATCCATAGCGACCCTATGAAAGACAGATCTGAACTTTGTCCTAACCTATGCCATCCTCACACATTAGAGGCCACTGCAGCAGTCATCACGTCAATCCACATGGTTGAGCATCTTCCTCTCTTCCTCCAACCCTCTCTCTACCTTTTGAGCACCATGTCTGTCTCCAAGGAACAGACAGACCCCTCTAGCAACATGCCTTTAGTACGTAAGGCAAAACATTATCAGCTTTGCCTCCAAAGAGCACTCTGTCTGTCCCTTTTCCAAGACTTATTTGTTTGTTCTTTTGGCAATCACTGGGATGTTCAGTACTCTTCTCCATCACCAATTCTCAAAGGTACCAATTCTTCTCTCATCCTTATTCACTGTCTCGCTTTCAGATGCACAGCAAGTGATCAGAAACACCATGGCCTGAATCAGACATCTCTCAGTACTCAAACTGACATCATTCCTCCTCAGTAATCTGGAGAAGTTCTTACTTGCAGACTTTCCCAGTGCGATATCTCTCCTTATTTACCGAGTGCTTGTACCAAAGGCATTAATTGTGGATCCAAGGAAGATGAAATTCTTGAGTTTCAATAGTTTCTCCATTATCATGGTGTTGCTTATAGGTCCAGTGGTGAGAATTTTGGTTTTCTTGACGTTGAGATACAATCCATATTGAAGGCTATATTCTTCGGTTCTGCCAACAAATGCTTCACATTCTCCTCACTTTTAGGAAGCAATTTGGTGTCATTTGCATAATGCAGGTTATTGATGAGTCTTCCTCCAACCCTGACACCACAATCTTCTTCTTAGAGTTAAGCTTCTCAAATAATTTGCTGGGCATACAGACTGAATAGGTATGGAGAGAGAATACAGCCTTGACACACTCCCTTCTTAATTTTAAACCAACAGTATTCGATGGAGCTTCCCAATTAAAACAAGCTCGGAAGCAGGAGTGGCATCCACTTCCAAAATGGCTTGCCTCTGGAAACTCTATGAAAATGGAGAAAGGACGAAAGTTATACAAGTGTTCAGGTCTTTCATTCATAGGGTCGCTATGAGTTGTCTACAACTCAATGGCACTGAACAACAACAAACACAATGTTTTCTTGTTCTATTCACCCAAAAGCCTCTTGGTCTAGGTATAGGTCTTGCAGGAGCACAATTAAGTGATCTGGGATTCCCATTCTTCTCAACGTCAGCCATAACTTGTTATGATCCACACAGTCAAATGTCTTCGCATAGTCAATAAAGCATATATAGATACTCTTCTGGTATTCTTCACTTTAAGTCAGGATCCATCTGTCATCAGCAATGATATCCCTGGCGTCATGGCCTCTTCCAAATACTGCTACAACTTATGGTAATTTCCTATCTATGTACTGTTCTGGCCATCTTTGAATGATATTCAATAGTATTTTTCTTTCATGTGATATTAATGATATTGTTAGAGAGTTTTCCATTCTCACTTGAAAATGGGAACAAACAAGGACATCTTCCAATCCATTTGCCAGAGAGCTGTCCTCCAAATTTCCAGGTATAGACTGGATAGTGCATCTAGCATTGCATCTGTTAACTGAGATAATCAATTGTATGCCATCGATTCCTGGGGCCTTCAATGCAGCTTCAACTTCCTCCTTCATTACCTCCGGCTCCTGCTCAATGGTATTTCCTGGCTTTTTTCAGTGTCAGTCAGTTCTTTTAGGTACAGCAACTCTGTGTATTCCTTCAGTCTTCTTTTGATCCTTCCTACGTCATTCAATATATTGTCCATTGCATCTTTCAATATTGCAACTTGAGGCTTAAGTTTGTTTTTCAGTTCTCTCAGCTTGAAAATTGTGAGTTCTTCCCTTTCTATTCTACAATTCCAGTTCTCTGCATATTCCATTATAATACTTTGTTTCATCTTCTCAAGCTGCTCTTTGAAATCATCTGTTCAGTTATTTTACTTTGGAAGTTTCCCCTTTGTTTTGGCTTTTTTATTTTGTTTTGATGTTCTAGTGCAATTTTCAGGGTTGGTTTTTTTTTTCTCCTCTGTCTTTGTAATGACCATTTGCTGTCTTCATTGATGATATCTTTCATATCATCACATAAGTCAAGTGATCTTGGTGTTTAATGCTTCAAACCTATTCTTAAGATGATTTTGAAATTCTGATGGAAGAGATTCACATTTATATTTTGGTTTTTATGGACTTGTTTTAATTTTCTTCGGTACTGTTGTCACCATTTCAAAACTCAGAGAACTCAACTCATTGCTGTTGAATTGGAACCAACTTTTATAGCTGACTTTTCAGTTGGCTTTATGTAAATCCCTGGGCAGGAGACTGCTCTTTTCCTCTCTAGGAGTCAATGCTGAATTCAAACTCCTACAGAGGTGTTGTCTTTGGATTAATAGCACAATTCCCAACAGACTATGTCACCAGAGCCCTTACCTAGTAAATATCATAAATTTAATTATACTCCACTGAACATACCTGTTGTGTGTGTATATATATCACATGTTGAAAAAGAGATGAAATAGATATTTTGACTTAGAAAATACAAAGAGAAGTGTTAAGTTTCTGAGTTTTATGTGACAAAATATTATCTTAGAGATAAATGGACTCATATTAATGGATTTAATAAAAGTACTTATGGCTTTAAAAAGAACATGGTTTACCTGCTCTTTTAAGTAGCAAAGTCGATCTAGAAGAATCAATGTCTCTATACAAGGAGCCAGAACAACTTTCAACTAAAAAAGATGAGAGAATAGGATAATTATTTACTTAATACTCATGCTGAGGAAAAACTATTTCAGAGTATATCTCTGGTACTCATTGTATATTTTCAGTAGATGAATACTGTGAAGATCAAAAGGGTTTTTTGGAAGTGTTCACCAATAAAAATGGTGAATGAGTGCCTTTCTAATAACTATTAGGTATAATCAACAAGGAGTTATATGTGTATGGATAAAAGTTTTATTTAAAACTTAAAAATGAAATTCAACAAAAGGAATGCTTATGAAATAAACGGCAATGAATAAAAATATGAGTTCAAAGAATTCTGAAACATCTCTCTTGCACTTATAATATACTTTGTTGTTGTTGTTAAGTGCCATCAAGTTACAAATGACTCATAGTGATCCTATGAAAGAATATACTTTGGGAGAAATATACCACAAGTTCACTTTATTATATGCTAACAAATAGTACAATTCTGAAGTATTAAATATCTCCAAGAGTTTTCTAGAGTAAGGCTAAAACAATAAATTGGTTAACCTTATAATAAAATTTAATTGGGTCCTATTTATGTCTACAGGCAGAACAAGTTAGTAAGTTTAATTCTGAGACTTACCATATTAAAAGCTTCTAGCTCATTCATTCTAGGCTTATATTTCTTGTAGTAGTCCATTACAGTTTTTTCTGGTAGCTTCAAGATAAAAACAAACAGAAATAATAATAAAATTAACAATTCCCAACCCAAAATTTACTGCTGTCAAGTTTATTCTGAATCAGTGTGACTTAACTGGATGGGGTCAACTTGTCCATAAGGTTTCCAAATCTAAAACTCTCTATAGAAGCCAACTACTGTATCTCTCTTCTGTAAATTTAACAAAATTTAAGTATACTGGTTGTTGTTGCTCTTATCCGCCTCGAGTCACCTGTGACTCATAGCGACCCTAT